ATAATATATTTAAATAAAAAAAATTTTAAAAAATAAATAAATATATTTTAAATATATTAATACTATTATTTATAATTTTTATTTTAAAATTATAATTTAATTTATTTATTTATTTTTTTTATATTTTTTTTTTTAATATACTTTTAATATATTAATTTCTTGACTTATTTTATTTTTACATCTATTTTTTTTTATTAATTTCTTAATTATTTTTATTGACATTAACCTTTACTGTCTAAAATACAAAATAGTCTTTTTAATTTGATATATTATATATATTATTTTTAATTTTTTTTTTAGTATTTTTAAATATAAATTATTATTTTAATTAATTTACTTTAAAAGTTATTAAATGAATAAAATATTTATTATTATATAAAAAATCATTATTATTTAATTTGTTTATATTACTTTTATTATTAATATATTAATAATTATTTCAATTGTAATAATCATTTTATTTAATATTTGCTACTATATTAATAAAATTAAATTTTTTATATTATATTTAAACTTTCTTTAAAAATTTTATATTATAATTTTTTCAAAATTTAAAAATATTATTATATATTATATAATAGTAATTTTATAGAATTATTTAATAATATATTTTTAAAAAGAATAAAAATTTAATAAATAAATGTCTTAAGATAAAAATAAATTTTTATCCTAATGTTTTTCTTTTTATATAAAAAGATTAAATAAAATAAATTTTGATTGCTTTTTAAGTAAAGAATGGTACGAATTTAGTGTCTCAGTCCCATTTGCATCTATAAATTTTGTAAAATATTAGTTCTAAAGAGTTCATGAAATAATATTTATTTAATATTTTTATAAATTAACATTAAATAAAAGCAATTTTATTCAATCTAATAAAAGGAGGAGTTTTAGAATCTACATTAGCAGATTTGAAAGATTTTAATAATAATTTAAATTGGTAAATAATAATAAACTAAAAAGCATTAAAATAAAAAAAGGAGAAAAGTTAAATTAGTTATTGATGAATATGAAGCTAGATGCGATAAAACATCTTTTTATGGATTAGATATTATAAGAGATAAATTATCTAGTATGATTAGAAAATGGCAAACATTAATCGAATGCAGAGTTGATTGCAAAACTTTAGACGGATACATTATTAGAGTTTTTAATATTGACTTCACAAAAAAAACTACTAGCTACAATTCGTCATCTTTAACTACTTATTCTAAACTATCTCAAGTAAGAGCTATTAGAAAAAAAATTAATACTTCTATTACTAATGAATTGTAAAAACTAATATTTCTGAATTCTGAATTGACTAAAAAATTAATTTCTGATGATTACTTACATGTTATGGAAAAACAAAATCAAAATTATTTCCACTCTTGGAGATATTACTATTAAAAAAGTCAAAGTACTTAAAAGACCTAGACTTAATAATATATATTAAATTTTTTATTTTTATTTATTAGTTATTTTTAAAAAAGCTGCTTAATTGTATACTCATGATAAAAAAGGAGATAAAGCTACAGAAAGATATGGTACTCCCAAAGATCCTCATGCTAAGAATTTAATAAAGTAATATAATAATGAGATTTCTTTAGTTAATTTTTTTATCTTATTTAAATATTTTTAAAAAAATATAATACGTATTTTATACTTTTTCATGTTTCCATTTTTTTAATTTATTATCATTAATTATAAAAAAAAGTTATTTAGATTTTAATTTTACACAAAAAAAATATATTTTTATTAATATAAAAAACAAGCATAAATAAAATAATTAATAACTGCATTCTTGAACAAAAAAGAAAAAGTGCTAATTCTGCAAATTTTGTAAAGCACAATAATACCTTCGAACATCCTGCCATAAGTTAACAAAAATTTAAAATGGTCCCTACAATTACATGGATTTACCCAAAACGAAATTAAAATAGTACAAAAAATAAAAAAACCTAATATGATTAGATGTTTTATGTATATAAAACAACTTATAGTTAATTTTCGAATATTGTAATTAGTACGCTAGAAGAGCATATAAAAAAGCATAATAATTTAAGTGAAAACGAATATATAAAAAATTTAAATAAATAAGAAAATCTTTCTAATTTCTTTTTAGAGAAGAGCAAATATACTCCATAGATAAATTTTTCGAAAGAATATAAGGATAGAGTATGATGCATTGTATAAACAGGAAAATCTACTTAAGCAATTGCCTTAATAATTAAAGGCATGGGAAATGGATATTAACGTATCTTGATGGAAGAATTTTAATGGATAACTCTAAAAGGGTCGAAAAATGGATATGGGAAAATTATTTATTAAAATCTTAAAATTATGAAGGTTTTTGTGCTAATGATATGTAAAACGGAGAAGGTATTATCAAAAAATAAAATTATGTTAGTTAGATAAAGATAAATTGAAAATGGAAAAATTATTTAATTAACAGTATATATAATTTAATTAATATTTTTATTTTTATATTAATAATATCAAATTTATATAATTGCTTTAAAAAAAAAATATTATAAATAAAGTCTATTTTATTTTTATTCTAATAAAATTAAAGTGCAAATTTTTATTAGTTTATATATTTAAATAACAAAATATAAAAAATATATACATATGAAAATATTATATAAAATTAAATTTCATTAGAATCATTAATTTTTGAATATTTTTATTTATTTCAAATTAATATAAAAATATTATTAAAATGATTTTTTTGTTTTATAATATTTTTTTATTTTTATAAAAATAAAAACAAATAAAACATAATATTTTATAATAAAAATAAGTTATAAATAAATAAATTTTATATAGCAATTTTATTAACATATTTTTATTGTTTTTAAAAAAAATAAATAAAAACTAATTAAAATAATAGAAAATTATAATTAATGTCATAATCATATTTTCCTTGGGAATAAAATAAATAAAATAAACTCTTAAAAAAAAGTGAAGTTGGTAAAGGTAAACAATCAACATATAATTTGCCACCAATTACTCATACTTACGGAAAACCTCCTCGTAGAGATAGTGAAAATGCAAAAGATGGTAAATATAATAAAATAAATAAAATATACGAAAAAATAAAAACTATAAAATCTTATATATAAATAAATCTTAATGTAAATTTAAATATAAGTTACAATGTCCTGGCAATATCATTAATAAACTAAAGATTAAGAACCCCCGAGAGACTTTATAAGGTTAAACAAAAATTGTGTTAAGGAAAGTTTTATTTCTCCTAAAGTAAAAAATAATATTAAAATATAAGATTTTTTATTCATTTTTTTTTTTTTAAAAAAGGATATTAAAGAATATAGATAATAACATTAAGAAATTAAAAAAATTATAAACAAAGGAAAAAAAGGAGTAGAATTGTTTCTACCTTCAGATGATTTTAGATATGGAATAAAAAATAAGTATATATATAAAAAATAATATTTTTTAATAAAATAATAAAATAAAGACCGTCAACACCGATGAATTAAATTATTGGTAAAAATAATAAAAATATATTAAATTTTAATAAAAAAAATAAAAACAGAATTACATTATGCAAGTTAATAAGAATAATAGATTCATGAATTTTATAAAAAATAATATGATGAAGTAATAAAATTTTAATATATAATTTTCCATAACAAAAATATTAAATTATAATTGTATATATTATAGAAAGTTTAAAAAAAAAAAAATCGTAACTATAATTCAAGCTAAATAAGAGGATCTGTAGAACTAAAAGTAAATAAAAATGTAGAAATTAATAATTCTGTAGAGAACTTTAAACTTGAAAGATTCAAAAATATTCAACCTAAAATAAATTCTAGACGTAAAAAAAAAAAACTATATATGAAAATAAAATCATAAAAAAAAATTAGCCGAAAATTTATTATCACATAATAAACATTAAAAAGATAAAAAACCAATAGTAATATTCATATTAGGAGGTCCTGGATGCGGAAAAGGAACATAATGCGAAAAAATAGTTTAAAATTATAATTTTGTGCATTTATCAGCAGGTGATTTGTTAAGAGAAGAAATGGAAACAGGAAGTAAAAATGCAAAACTAATAGATAGCTATATAAAGGAAGGGAAAATAGTTCCAAAAGAAATTATTGTTAATTTAATTAAATAAGCTATGGAAAAACATGGATGGGAAAAAAACAAATATTTAATAGATGGATATCCTAGAAGTTAAGATAATGTTGATGGATGGAATGCTATAATGGGGGATATTGTAGATTTTAAATTTATTCTTTTCTTTGATTGCAGTGAAGAGACTATGGCTAAAAGAGTCATGAAAAGAGCATAAGGTTCAGGAAGAAGTGATGACAATATTGAATCTTTAAAGAAAAGATTTAAAACTTATTAAGAATCAACTAAACCTATCGTTGATATGTATAAAAAATTAAATAAAATTATCATTGCTAACGCAGAAGGAAGTCCTGATTAAGTTTATTCGTAAATAAAACCTGTTTTTGAAAGTAAAATAAATAAAAAAAATAAAAATAAAAATTAATTATAATAGGAGAATTTGGTTCTATAAAAAAACCTTAAATAGTATTTGTTTTAGGAGGTCCTGGATGCGGAAAAGGAACTTAATGCGAAAAAATAGTTTAAAATTATAATTTTGTGCATTTATCAGCAGGCGATTTGTTAAGAGAAGAAATGGAAACAGGAAGTAAAAATGCAAAACTAATAGATAGCTATATAAAGGAAGGGAAAATAGTTCCAAAAGAAATTATTGTTAATTTAATTAAATAAGCTATGGAAAAACATGGATGGGAAAAAAACAAATATTTAATAGATGGATATCCTAGAAGTTAAGATAATGTTGATGGATGGAATGCTATAATGGGGGATATTGTAGATTTTAAATTTATTCTTTTCTTTGATTGCAGTGAAGAGACTATGGCTAAAAGAGTCATGAAAAGAGCATAAGGTTCAGGAAGAAGTGATGACAATATTGAATCTTTAAAGAAAAGATTTAAAACTTATTAAGAATCAACTAAACCTATTATAGAATTTTATAGAAAACAAAATAAAGTTATTATGGTTGATGCTGAATGTCCACCTGATTAAGTTTTTAAATATATTTAACCTATTTTTGAATAAATTTGATTTGATATATATTTTATTGATTAAAAAAATTATTAAACAAGAAAAAATATATTAAAAATTTATCATTTTTATTAAATATTTATTTATTATATTTTAGAATTTATTTATTAAAATTAAATTTTATGTTTATTTATTAAAATGAAATGTTATATTTTTTTATATACATAGTATTAATTTTTAATTAAATATTATTCTATAATTTTAAATAATAAAAATAATTATTATAAATAAATAATTTTATAAATAAAAATACTTTTTAAATGTTTTTAAAAAATTAGTTTATATTATATATTGATAATAAAAATATTTATATGTTTACGATTTGGTAATACAATTTAAATAAATATAAGTTTATAATATAGTCTAATTTGATATTATGAAGAAGAAGACTATTAATAATACTAATACTTAGGTATTAAAAAACTAAAATAAAAATAAAAGATTAATTAAAAATAAATATAAAATTAAAAAAATTTATTTAGAAAAATAATATAAAATAAACAATATTTTGAATAATAATTAATTTATAATATTAAGTGAATACAAAAATAATAGATAAATTCTATTATATTCCCTAAATAATAATTTATTATTGAAATTAAAAAATAAAAATAATATTCCTTAACTATTTATAGGACAATATATAATTTATTTATTGTTCCCTAATTTAAAAATAAATTAAAAGAAAAAATAAAAATATTTATAAATAATTAATATAAAAATTGATTTAAAAAATTTTATAAAATAATTCATATATATTATTCAAACATAAATTTATTTTCATTTCCATTTTCATTTTATTAAATAAAGATTAACAATTATTCCTAAAAAATAAATAAAAATTAATGAATAATAAGCAAGCCAAATTTTATTTATTAAAGAGCTTTTTTGATTATCTTCCCATTATTTTAAAGTTGTGACATGTAAAATAGCAATAACTAAAAAAGTAATCCAAGCTAAAACAGCATGAAAAATATCAGCTTAAATATAATTGATAGAGATTAAGGATGCAACACAAAACAAATACATTCTTTTAGTCAAATTATTAACTATTTACTTTAATACTATTTGCTTATTTTCTAAGATATAAGCCAAAAATAAAAATAAAAAATGGACAGAATAAGCAAATAATATGGCTATACCTATTGCTTGTCTTATCGCAATATAAGATTTGTTTTTGTTCAAATCAAGAAATTGAATTTATACTGCCATTTTATGTTTTGTAATTTATAATAAGCAATTATTTTAGTTTAAAATATTTAATTAATATTATTTATTAAATTATTATAATAAAAAAAGAAATAAATATATAATATTTAAAATAAATTTATATATTTTAAATTAATTATTTAAATTTATAAAAAAATTCAAAATAAAATTTTTGGAATGAAAAAAAATAAATTATAAAATATATTATATAATTATTTAATTAAATTTGAAATATGTTAACTATACATAAAATATGAATAGTTAACAAATTAATTAATTATTATTTATTTTAAATATAATAATCATTTTTTACATCATTTTTTTTATTTCAATTTATAATAATTATTTAGATTTATTACTTTAACAATATTATATAGTTAAAGTGGTATTTATATTTATATCATTTTTTAAGACCTTATCTAATATTTTTTTTTTTTTATTATGTTATTTTCTATTTAATTAATAAAAGATTATAAATGTAAAGTTTCCTTCATTTCCTTTATAACTTTAGTTAGTGTTTATGTATCTTGATTTTTCAAAATAATGTAAAAAATATAGTTAAAATAGTTAAAATTATTTATATTTAATTCATATTTTATGTAAAAAAAAAATTAATTTTAGACATCATAAAATCAAAAATTTTTAAATATAAATTTTGTTATTAATATATTTAATAATAGAAATGAGAAAAGAGAAAAAAAAAAAATTATACCTAATTTTTGCTTAAATATATAAAAAAATATTAATAAACAAATAAAAAATATTAATAACATAAATATAATATATTTAAAGTAAAACAATAAAATAAAAATAAGTAAAAAAAAAAAAAAATGGAATAATAATAATCAAAATCAATCTAAATACTTAAATCATTATAATTAAATTATTTAGATAAAAATGAAGAAGAATGCTATTAATATCATTAAAATACAATAAGGAAAGAATTTAGAAATAAACTAATGTTTTAGATATTAATATATTAACTAAGTTTTCATAGTTTATAATATTTTGTTTATTTAGAATGCATTTTTATGTTAATGATATTAATAAATGCTTTTGTCTTTTCAATATTCTTATTTTTTTGCATAAAAAGATAGATTTAGTATATAAACTATATTTTTCTACAGTTTAATATACTTAACACTTTATTGCTTGTTTTTATCATCACTTACCATATAAATAAATACTTTTGAAAAATAATATGATCATTCATCATATTTATATTTTATGGTTATTATTTTTGTACTTCAGTATATTTATTGGCATTATTACATAGCCAATGGCTAATGCAATCAATAATAATATCATATCCTTAATAATGATAGGAATTAGTGCGACAATATTGAAAGGAAATATCCATGATTTATATTAATTATTGGTTTTGGGCAGTTTAAACATGATAATTTTGCTTATTGTTCAATTTTAAAATAACAAAAACAATCGTTTAAGGTTCCACGAAGAATACATCTAAAAAAAATAGTTAGAAACTTGGAAAAGCATATTTTAGGAATACATACCATTAGAAATATTAATTGTAAAAAAAGAAAGTAAAAAAGAAGGAAATTAGGAGAAAAAAAATGAAGAAAAAAAAAAAGAAGATTAAAACAAAAATAAAAAACTATAAACATTATATAAAATATAATTATAAGAAAAAGAATAAAGAAAGAAAACAATTGATACTCAAATTTAATTTGAAACATAAACAAATAAAAACATATAAAAATAAGATTATCAAAAAAATTTTTCAAACACATTTTCTAATGATGAATTGAAAAGAAAAAATTCAAAAAAAGATTATATTTAAAAATAATATACAGAAATTATTGGCTTAAATTAAGAAAATATAGAAATTCTTTTTTTAAATTAAAAATTTAAAAAATCATTTACATCTGAATTAGAAAATATTAAAATAAACTTGAAAAATATAAAACCTGAAGAAATGTCACCAAGCAATTAACAAAATATATATGATTAAATTTTAGAATATTTAAATAAGAAAAAGAAACCAATAAAAGATTTTTTAAATTGCTTTGATTTATCAAACAAATAATACTATGATATTAAATTTGTTCCTTTACTATGGTAAGGAGAAAATTCATTATTAATATTATTTAATGATACAAGTAATTTGATAAGAAATAAATAATTACTACATCTACAAGTATTAAAAGATAAAATGTTAGCAAATGTAAGCCATGATTTGAGAACTCCTTTAAATTTTATACAGGTAATATCATAAAGTTGTATTAATGAGGAAAATATAGAAATATTTAAAAAGTCTTTATATTTAATAAATTTAAATTGCATGCTTTTAATTTCTCTTGTAAACGATATTTTAGATAATTAATAAATATAATAAGGAAAGTTTAGATTAGTTTTAACTGAATTTTTTATTCAGGATGAACTTTTATAAATTGAATAACTTTTTTAATTTCAATGTGATGAAAAAAACATTTTAATTCAAAAATAAATTGATAATAATTTCCTTTTTTATTCAGACAAAAATAGAATTAAATAAATCCTTATTAATATTTTTTCAAATGCCATTAAATTTACTACTAAAGGATGTCTTAATATTAAAATTAACTCTTTTAAAGAATATCCTAATGTTATTTTTTTCACTATCTCAGACACAGGCATCGGAATTCCTCATGATATTTAATCTTAATTGTTTCAATAATATTCAACTTTTGGTACAAAAGAAATAAATAAACATGGTATTTTTATTTATATATATGAAATTATTATTTATTTAGATTAAATATAATAGGAATAGGTTTAGGATTATCTCTTTGTAACGAATTAATATAATTATTAGGTCCTTTTAAGCAATTAATTTTAAAATCCGAACCTGGAGTCGGTTCATCTTTTAGTTTTTGCATATGGAATAGAATGAGTGAGGATAGCGAAGAATATATAAAGATAAAAAATGATATACTATACTAATAAAAATTAGGATAAATACTAGAACAATAAAGTAAAATATAACAAAAACATTTAGCATTTTGTAAGAAGAAAAAATTTTTAGAAGATGAAGATTTTGAAATCAATTAAGTTAATGAAGATTGCCAAGATATTATTTAAAATATAGAAAACCACACATAAAACTCAAATTTTAAAATTATAGGAGAAAATAATGAATAAAAAATTAATAGTAGTTTTAAAAAAAAATTTGAAAAATTATTAAGTAAATATTAATCAATTCTTTTAGTAGACGATACTATTTTTAATATTATTGCTTTAAAATATTTCTTTAAGGACTTCAAAATTAATATATATATAGCTCAAAATGGACTTGAAGCTTTATAAAAATAAAAACAATTCTAATGTGATATTGTACTATGTGATATTTAAATGCCAATCATGGATGGAATAAATGCCATTAAATTAATAAGAGAGCATGAAGTATAAAATAAACTAAAGAAAAGCATTATAATTATAGTTAGTGCTTATGATAGTAAAGATGATATTTATAATTCTATTAAAGCAGGAGCAAATGAACATATTTGTAAGCCAATAGATTTTTAATTACTATATTTAGCTTTACAAAAGTTAAATTGAAAAAAAAAAATTCAAATTATTTATATATTATAAAAATAAATAAAACATAAATTTGTATTTTATATATTTGTAAAATTTTAATGTATATAAATTTTATTTATATTTAAGTATTAAAGATATATTATTTTAAAAATATATATTTATATATATAAATATATATATAAATATAAATATATTATTTTTATTTTTTTTTAATATTTTTTATTATTTTTTTTTAATATTTATAAATTTATTTAACTTTATATCATAATAATATATTATATAATAAATATAAAAATAATTTATTCTAATTTTATTCTTATATAATTTCTTTTTCTAATAAACATAAATATTATTTTTATATATTACTTTAATTTTTTTTTTTATTTTTAATTTTAAATATTTAAGAATATTAAAAAATTATTATTTATATATCTTTTTTTATTTTAAATATAAATTATATAAAATTTTTTTTAATAAAAAAATGAATTACAATAATTTTAATCGTAAAAAATATTAAAATATTAATATTAATTTCTTTTTTATTTTAAATTTATATATAAATAAAATATAAAAATAGATAAAAACACCACAAAAAGTGTATAATTACGATATGGAGATTTAATATATATTAATTATGAATCATAATAATAAAGAATATATTTTTTAATAGGTAATTGAAATATTAATTTTATTTTACATATTAATTGCAAACCTTAAAAAAAAAATTGAATAAAATATAATTTAATAAAAATTTATTAAAATAAAGGCGATGGATTAAGTTCTAATAATTTAGAATGTATATTATAAACATATTAAGACTAACATTATAAAAATCCTTTACTGAATTTTAAAAAATGTTTATTTAAAATTGCCAATGCAAAGAATTACTTTTATTAAGAATAATATAATAAATAAGTATAAACATAAAACATTAAAATGGTTTAAAAAAGCATTCAAGAAGTTAAAACAAAAGCTGAATAAGAATAACATTAAAATTAATAAGAATATGAATAATAGAAAAAAGGAAGAATTGTTTTATATGGCTAATAGGTATAGTTATAACATGTATATAGTGATTGCTATTTAACTATTGACCCTAGTAAATTGGCATTAGAAAGTTGCTGTAAACAAGTTTTTTTGACAAAAGAAGCAAATAAATGGTCTAATTTTAAAATTACTTCGCTTTAAAAAAAGATTGGAGAAGAAATCTTTAATGAAGATTAAATTACTTTAAGCTTATTCGAAAACGAAAATTAATAAGTTAATGTTTCTGATAATCTAATGATGTATTAGAAGTTAATAGTTCTGAAAAATAAACTATTTTTAAAATTATTCTTTATAAATAGTACAATAATTATTATGAACCTGATTATGTATAAAATAGAGATAAAATATAAATTAAAAATTAGTAATTAGTCTAAAAAAAATATATATTATATATAAATTTAAATTCATTAAACTCCACAAAATAAGTTTTTAATTTATTTTATTTTCTTAAAAAAAGTTAATCTTCTTAATATCTCAGTATTCAACACAAAAATTAAAAGGAAAAATTTTTTCTAAATAATTTACAAAACCGAAATGTATATTATAGTTATGAAGGACTAAAAAAAGAAAGAGTGCCAGTTTTCCAAATTCAGCAAATATTCACTTCCCCAAAAAACATTGATGACTACTATTAATTATGTGGAATTTCTTATAGCGAGAACTACACCTCATATGATGAAGATTATTATAAAAAAATGTCAACAATATGGGAAATACAATCTGAAGATGTTTTCGAATCAATAATATGTGAGTTATCAACTCAAAGTAATTCCCATTTGTTAAAAAACAACATAAAAAGGCACAGATTCAAGCATATATAATCTGGTCTTTATCTAGCCTCTAAAGAAAATATAAACGAGAAGAATATAAAAGCAAAAAATAGGTAATTATATTTAACATATGATGGAAATAATACCGATTGCTTTTTTATAATAAACTAAAAAATAACATTTCTGAATGCCTATAATATGCAGTAGATATAAAAATAGAAGAAGGAAATTCTATATATGCCAATCATGAAGATAGAAAGAAGTATACAAAATGCTTATAGTGTAATTTTTCTCATTAAAATATAGAATCAAATTTAGAAACTTAAGTAATTTCATAATCTAAATTCTCTATAATAGAAAGAAAATCTGTCAGTACATTTTATAGTTAACAAATAAAGTTCAAAATAATTCGAATTCCTGAAGAAGAAAGTAAAATAATGGACTTAGTCTCGAGTAATATTTAGTTTTTAATTTAATTCTATCAATATTTATAAGAATGGGGAATTGAAAAAAAAGAAAATCAACATTATTATACTCATTTAAAAATATCCGAAAACTAAAAATAAATGACTTTGCTTTTTGATTAATTATAAAATTGTCTTAATCATATTGATATTATTTTTAGTTTAAAAAAATCCACTTTCCTTTTGCAGGAAGGAATTCTTGTCATTATTTATTAAGTCATTAAACAAATAGTCTTTAAAATCAAAGGAAATCCAGCATAATCTATTGACTTTTAACTATAAAATGAAGCCGGTTTAATGGTCTAAAAGAAGATCTCATTAAGGCTTAAAAAAATATATTAATATTTAAATAAATATATAGAAAATAATGTAAAATCATGCTTCACTATTCTTTCTTTATAAGAAGATAATTTTCTTATATCATAAGATGATGAAGAAACTATAAATTTGTTAAAAACATGCACTTTTGGTAATGAAGATAAAGAAATGGAAAGTTCAATAGGAAGATTTATTTAATAATTAAAAACAATAGAAGAATCCAATATAAAACAATAATCTTTAATGGTTTTATTATTGAATTAAAGTTTAAAAGATATAAGAACCAAAAAAATGAATGTTGATTATGAAAAATATTGGGAATTCTAAAATTTCTGTAGAAAGAAAATATTTAATTCTGACGAAATTTCCTAAAAAACAAAAAATCTAATAAAAAGCATTCTCATTAGTTTTTAAAAAATTGATGATTAGATTTATGTCATTTTTAATACAGAAAATGTAAACGAATTCGCAAGCAAAAACTCCGGAATTATTTCTTTATATAATTAATAAAAAACAGGAAAAAATTAAACTAAAGAACTCTCGAATTAATTTAATATAAATTTCTTTCAATAAATAATAAATAAAGGACCAAATTCTACTATTTTTACTTAATATTAAAATTATTTATTTTAAGTTTTGAAATTTTACTCAGAATTGGCTTTTAATGGAAATATAAAAACTTAATTAGAATTATAAAATTTAGGTTTAGAAAGAAATATCGTATATACATTACTTTAATAATATAATAATATTAATAAAGAGTTTTAACTTTTATTGCTTGATTTGTACTAAAATATTATTATGTTTGTAATTCCGTTTGAATAAATTCTACAGCATAATAAAAATACATATTTTATCGAAGATTTTGATAGATTTAATCCTTATGAGGATTAAACCTTCAAATTATTTAGTTAAATAAACATCAGTGTTGATGACATAAAAAGAAAACTTCTTAAATTTATTGGATATTAAGACTTTAATGAATTTATAAAATAATATTAATTAACTGATCTTAATAAGTTTAGCCTTACTTAATATATTTGTATGAAATTAATTGAAGAAGATAATAATAATGGATTATCTTTAAATTACTAGTAATTATTTATTAATAAAAAAAAATATAATTAGACGCCTTTTATGAATTAATTGGTTTTGATGATTCAGATATTTAATATATAACTGAGTTTTTTATAACTTTCTTAAGTATTATTAGATAAAGAATGTCTTTAGGATATAATAATAGCAAATAAAATCTCGAAATTTTCAAAACTGTTTTAACAATTTTATTTGCTATAATTAACTTTTATTCTGAAAATCAAATTGTATACCTAAAAAGATATTTTATTAATTTTAATTGGGTCTATAATTTTATTAAATAATATGCAACTAATAAAGAAGAAAAAATCTAGTATATAGAAAATGTAATTAAAAAAATAAAATATAAATTTAATTATTTTTAATAAAGATTTGTATAGAATGTATTAACATAATTAATGTTTTTTTAAATTTGTAAATATAATTATAAACAATTGATATTATAAAAAATAATTGTGAAGATGATAGTTATAATCTTGATATATTTTTAATTTACTGGAAAAGACTACCAATAGAATAAAAAAAGAAAATAAATCAAAACTATCACATAAATATAACTACAATTTTATATCAATTAACTACAATATTTGAATTGAATTCATATACTTAATAATACATATTTAAAACTTTTGTTGACTATATAAATTAATATAGCATATTAGACAGCAAAATATAAACAATATAAATTCTAGAAAATAATACTGAAAAAGACATTTTTTAAAAAATAAATGGTATTGACTAAAGTGATGAAAAAGACGCTTAAATACAAAACAAAGCATAAATAAAAAATATGAGATATCTATATCAAAATTGTGAATAATTTATGAGTTTTCTTTAAGAGTATGACATAAGCTAAAATTCCAATTCATCTTAAAAATATGAATATAAAAAATATGTATTTTATGTTTAATAATTGGAATAATGTTTATAGAAAATAATATTTTTGTATAAAAAATATATATTTAATTAAGCTGTAATCAGTAAAACTATAAGAAACTCATATATAGATGAATATTTATTAAAATTAGTTTATAAAAATTACTAGATTTATAAGCAAGGTTATAAATACGAAAATTAAACAATTTTTATTAGAATTTTCGATGTAATAATAAAAAAATTGTAATTGTATTAAAATAAATAATTATTATTCTATTTTAAAATAAAAAGTATGCCATATAAATTATTAATTTCATTATTAAAGATTTTAAAGATTATGAAAATAATAGTCAGAGCCATTATAGATATAATTATAAATGTTATATACTTTGCTTGAATTAGCTTGATCCTTCAAAGCTTAAACAATTATTATTTTTAGACGATTAATAGATTTCATAATATGAATAAATAAATCTTAAAAAGTATTTGTTAAATATTTTCTAAGATGAGAAATATAGAAACTCAATTAGCTAAGATATAAATAATATATATGAACATATAAATGTATGTAATCCTTTCCTTGAATAATAAGTAACAAGGTCAGCAGATAAATTAGAAAATAAGAAAGTTTATAAATTAGGAATAAATAAAATAAAAGCAAAAGCAATAATTTAATTTTTTAAAGTTTTGAAACAATTAAATATATCATAAAAGTATTATTATATATAAATAAATCAAAAATAAATACTTAACTTGCTTTTGAAAAATAACTTCTTTATAGACATCATAAAACCTATAAATGAAAAATATTTAAGTAATTTTGGAAATTAATATTTTCATAATGAAAAAAATTACATAAAATTAAAACTTCATGTTAAAGGTAAATTAAATAATATCAAAATATTGTTTTCATTTAATATATTTATGCATATTACAGGTTTAACACTTCTTTTATAGTGTAGTAAAAATTATGAGATTTCAATAAAAGAACTAAAAAGATTTTATTTCTAAGAATAATTGCTAAACATATATATAAATAAAGAAACATAATATTTTATTAAAAAACCTTATTTAAGATGCTTATTTGAACTTTATTTAACAAAAGTAATTATTCTAATATATTTTTTTTTTTATAAAAAAAAAAGTAATTTTAAAAAAAAGAAGAAATAAAATATTCTGAAGAATGTATTTTAACTGGAAATATAATTTAGATTTTCAAAGAATAAATAATACCAGTATTTAATATTTATTTCTTTGCAGCAAATTTAGAGTCTTTAGTAAAATGCAAAGATAAATCTATAACAAGTTCTTTGGAAAAATATAATAATAATAAATTTAAATATTTATAAAAATTAGACAAAGAAAAATTAAAATAAGTAAAAAAATTTTTTTTTTAAAAAAAAAAAAATTAAAAAAAGGCAATTGAAATAAATAATTACTTAATAATAAAAAACTCGAATGAATATTGGGAATATATATTCAAAGATAGTCTACTTCATTTTATAACTGATATATACGATGATTATAATTATTTATTTTATAGAGACTTGGAAAAATAGGAATTTATGTTATTAAATAATAATGTAAATGAATTAAGATAATGTTTTTTATAATTAAAAGATCAAATTCAATAAATAATTGAATTGTTTGATATTTTAGAGCCTATTTTTAAAGATTATGAAAACCATATTAAGTTGTTTTAATATAATAAATTTTTAAAATAAGCTTATGATATTCTTCAAAATGCAGAACAATAATTTTATGGGTAAAAGCTAAGTAATAAAGATAAAATATAATAATAACTTAGATTATAATTGTTAAGAAAAAGAATCTAATTAGAAGATTTTATAGAAATAATAAAGTAAAGATGGAACACAAATAGAAAGTAAAAAATGCTTACAAATATTATTAATTATAATAAAATGTATTTAGATTAAAATTAAATAAAAGAAATAATAGAAGATTTAAATGGATAAAATAAAAAATAAATAATCTATACAAATATATAGAACGAATTATAAGTTTATTTTATGAATTTAATAGGCTACAGTTACTTCACGTAAATCAGAAAAAATACAAATTTAATAGTAAATTAGAGAAGATATTAAATGGAGTTAATAAAGTAATAATTCGATGAAAAAACATAAATGCTTCCTTTAGAAAGTATGTAAACTATTGAGGATTTATAAGAATTCGATTTATATAAAGGATATTAATTTGAAGAAAAAGAAAAATAAAGTAAAAAATTTTAAGAATAAACAATTATTGACTATTAAATAAATATGATGATTTAAGATTTTATTCTATAGTTTAAAATTGATAAAATAAATATTTTTGAGAATTTTATTATATAATTATTAAATATTTTCAATATGTATGATGAGAAGTTATATATGATTAAAATTATTAGAATTTTCTTGGAAAAAAAATAAATTAATCCTAAAGAATAAAAAAAATTAATCGCATAAGAATTTGATAATGATGATGAAAAAGATTTATTAAATTAAAAAAGGGAAGCGTTTTAACAATTTTAGGTTTTAGTAACAAAATAGTAAATATTTTTATATTCTTTAGAATTAATTCAAGTTTAAGAAAACTAGAGCTCTTTATAAAAATAAAAAGATAATTTCGAATAATGGAATGAAGCTTTAAAAATCATGATTTTAATATTAGAAGGAGGAAATTAAGATTGTTAAGACCTTATTTAAATATAGTTTATTGATAAAGAAGAATATAAGGAAATATTCACTTCTTTTTTATATTTTTTCTTTTAAAAAGATATTGGTTTTGAACTTGAAAAAATTAATTAATAAAGAAAAAAACTATAAGAACTAGCAAATGAAAAAGTAAAAGTTAAATTAAAAAAAAATAAACAAACAAAATATAAAAGGAAATTATAAGCGATAAATTTAAATAAGAATCATCAGAATTCGAAATATTAACATTTAGAATATTAAAACTTTTATAATCTTTATGCGAAAATGTAAATATATATTTTTAAATATTTTTAGAAAGTTAAGTTGAAAAAGTATCGCGTATTCTAGAAGAATGTTTTAAAATCTAACAATATGAAGGCACTAATTGTAATTTAAAATAATAAAATGACTAATTCGAAAGTAAAATAATAATGTAATGTTTTGAAACAATAAGAGATTTATGTAGTAGCCAAGATTCTTAAAATAATAATAAAAGTGAGATTTGTAGAAATAAAATATTATTCGAATTAATAAATAGGCATATTATATCTAAAGAATATTTTGATAAAACATTTAAGAAATTTAAAAATGATAGATAAAAGATAAAATTACTATAAACAACAATTAAATTTATGATTGATATTTTTGTTGGAAATGTTTAAACAAAAAAAAAAAATGTTATTATTAATATTTTCTAACTTTTTTTATTTGTTGATTTAGTTTTTTTTTTTTTTAAATAACACAAAATATCAAAATAATAATTTGAACAAATAATAGATAAAAGATAAAATTACTATAAACAACAATTAAATTTATGATTGATATTTTTGTTGGAAATGTTTAAGTCAATTTACTTTTACCTATTATTTAAATTCTTAATTTTGATGCACTTATTTAGTTGTCAAAAGATATTTATGAATTTATTATTTCACCAAACTATAATTATGTTTTATTAGATAAATAATGTACACATTAATAAAAATAAAAAAGGATAAATAATAATGATAAACATATTAATAATATATATGGAAGTTTAGTTAAATCATCATTTATTAATAATAATTAAGAAAAATTGGTTAAAAAAGATGAATGTAACTATTATAAATGCAAAAAGGGTTTTATTTCTAATTTTGATAATATCCTTATTGATATTGGGTTCAATATATTTATCCTTATGTAATACCTAAAAGATGTATTCCCTTAAGATAAGGAAAGGTTTGGATTATTTTTTGATGATTATACCGCTAAGTAGAATTAGAAAATTCAAGAAATTAATAAAAATAATTTATTAATAAATGAATATTAAGAAAATGTAAAAAATCAATCAAATACTGAAATTCTTAAATCCTTTTAAATTTCAAAAGAAAAAATATAAAGCCTATTGGAAAACTAAGATATAATTAATTAAGATCAAAACTTTATAACCGATATAGATTGGAGTAATACCGAATAAAAATAAAAATCTCCTTTAAAATTAAAAAATATGAAAAAAAGTTTTTGGGAAGGAAACAATATATTTACTGATTTTATTAAATAAAGTAAATAAAATTTATTTATTATCATTTTTATTTTTATCAAGGATAACATGTCAAATTTTCATAATAAAATGATTTCTTTAAATTCTACAGAAAGTTTGTTGGTAATGTTGAACTCTTGACTTAAATTAGTAATGAATAAGAATTAGCAAAAATTGTAAAAGTGTATTTCAGAAAACCATTTTTCTGTAAATACTTAACTTAGGAAATTTAAGATCATTTAGTAAAAAATAAATATTTTTAACCAATTTTAATTTCATTAAAAAAATAGATTTATAAAGCAGATAGAGATAACGATTAAGACAGAGTTCGTTTTTTATTGTATAATTATTAATTTTATTACATTTAAATTAAAAGAAAGCAAGATATAACGAAAAGATATGTATATAAAATAAAATTCTATATTATATTTATTTAAATATAAAAAAGCCACTAATAAGTATCTTTGCTAATAACTGGAGATTTTTAAAAGATATTTCATATATACTAGTTATAGCGATTAGTATATTAATAGCAATTCAATAAGAAGAAGATGCGCGTGTTTCCTAAGGAGAAAATAAATAATAATGGGATAATTAAATATTATATCCAACAGCAATTATATAGTTAATAATAAGCTTCAATGTACTATTATTCTGTGCAATAGAAAGATATCCAATATCAATTCATTTATTTTCTAACGATTAAAATTTCAATTAAATATTAAAAATAAAATAAGTTTCTGAAGGAAAATTAGTAAATAACTTCTCCTATTATTTAGAAAAAATTTAAATACTTTTTAAAGAAACTTTGTCTCCAGAAGGTGCTAAGGAAAGCTATATTAAAAGCTTTATTCTAATATCCCTTGATATTGATAATATATATAACGCAGTTTATTTTATAATTACAATTTTGGCTGTAAATAAGTCTGAAGATCCTTTAGTTTATGCCTTTTTGCTACTTGATATTGTTAAAAGAAGTTTAGATTTGCAAAATGTAATTGCAGCTATTACTACTAATGCCAGAAACCTTCTCAAGTTTGCATGCTTGGGGCTTATTATTTTATATATTTATGCTATTATAGGTTATAATAATTTCAAAGACTTTTTCAATAAAGAAGCAGGGGCATTTAGTGATACTTTTTTCCTTACAATTACTTCTGTGATTAAGGAAGGATTACGAAATGGAGGAGGAATAGCAGATAGTTTGAATAATATAGATTATAATGATGAAAATTCTTATTCAAATATTTGGAAGAGATATGCATATGATTTATCTTTTTTCGTTATAATTAATATGCTTTTTATTTAAATTATTTTTGGTATTATTTTGGATACTTTTGGAACTTTAAGAGATGAAAGAAATGAATTATTACATAAAATTAATAATTTTTGCTATATTTGTGTAAATAGATATATATATTTTAATTCAATTTTTTTTTTAGGGCTATAATAGATAACATATAGATACATTTAATAAAAATGGATGGAATTATCATATATATTAAGAACACAATTTATACAATATGTTATTCTATATAATTTATATATATTTAAAAGATAGTAATGAATGTGCTGGAATAGAAAAATACGTTAAGGATAAAATAAATGATTATTAAACTGATTTCTTCCCTATATAAAGGTCATTATAAGAAGAAAAATAAAAGGAATAAAAATGAACAGAATCACAAGTTTATTTATTTTTTATTTTTTCTTGTAACATATTTGTTAATCAAAAATAATAAAAAACCATTATTATTCTTTTTTTTTCATATTTTTAAGTTGATAAAGTTTTTTTAAGAATAAATAATTTTATAAGTAATTTATTAGTAAAAATAAATTATACCTATTAATATAATTTTCATTTAAATTATGATTATAATTTTGATTCTTAATTTTATCATTATTTTGATGATTATATTTGATACAATTTTTTTTATTATTATTAATTTTTATTGTTTAAATTATTATTATGACATATCTTTTTTTATTGTATTATTAAAAACAATAAAACTCAATATTTCTAAATTACAAAATTATTTTATATTTATAAAAACAAAATGCTTAACACAATATAAAATATAATTAGCAATATAAATCATAATTTGTATTTTTTTAATACTATAAAATATTAAATAAACAATACAATAATACAAAAAACTTACCATTTATATAATTTTTATGTTTTTATATTATTAAAAGTATATTATATATTTATTATTTATTGTATCTATAAATTCAACAGCAAAAAAATAAATCAACCTAAAATTTGGTTATATCTTACATATTTTTCAATTATGGATTTAATTCAAAATAATATATATAATTATTCAAATTGAATATAAGTATCTTAAATTATAATTATTTTTTTATATTTAAAAAAAAAATAGTTTAAGGGGTTAAGTATATAATATTTATAATTTATTAGCAAAAAATCTCATTGTATTTTTTTCAATTTTCCTTAATTAAATTTTAGAAATGTTTATTTAGAATAGTTAATAAAGAAATATGAAAACATAACATAAAAAATAGATTATTTTTATTTAATTATTTAATTTGTAAAATTGTAAAAAAATATATGAACAATAATTATACTTTAATTTCCCTTATAAATAGGCTTTATATAAGTTTTACTTTAAGATGAACAAAATAGGTAGTCTAATTTATTAAGTGAAACTTAATATAAAAATGCAGTTAAACAACCTTCAAATTATAATCATATTATTTTATAATAATTGGGAAAATGCAGAATTAATTATGGAATATTAAGATTTAAATTTAAGATTCATTAGAAATTAATAGTTTGAATAGATAATCTTAATTTAAAATCATTTTTTATTTCTATTTTAATGGAAAAATTAAAATTTATAATAAAAATGGTAATAAAATCATAATATATAAAGATAAAAATAATTATTTTAATTTAAATATATTTATTATTATTGGCTTAAAATAATATTTTTTTGTTTATTTCTAAAAACATAAAAAAATTATATATTAATAAAAATTAAATATAAAGTTGAAGTAAGTTCCGTAAGTGCAATAAATAGTAATTAAATATACATACGAAGACAAAAATTTAAATATAATCTTATATTTGTATAGCTAAATTTTGGGAAATTTAATTAGTAGCATACTTGCTTTATAAATAAATTAATATTGATTAAATTATTTTTATATTTATGAATCAAATAAAAATAATTAAGACTACTTTTGAAGTGAAAGATGAATTTTTTTATTATTTTTATCTCTAATAAAATAAGTAAGTAAAAAATTTAAAACATTATTAAAAATTAAAGATTATAAAGTTAAGTTTTTATATTTCTATATTATTAAACAACTTATTTTCAAAATAATATCTAATTTAAAGTGTATTAATAATATAAATATTAGAATTGTTATAAAAAGGGGACAAATATTAAGTTTTTACATTTTATTTGAAAAATTCTCTTTTAGACAAACAGAAATTCAATGAATCGAAAATTATATGGAAGATGATTCCTAATATTAAAATATCAAAAATATAAATAATCATGCATAAATATTATTGAAAATGAAATATCATTAAAGTATAAACTTTTAATTTAATATTTAAGAATATTTAAGCGAATAATTAGTGTTGAATATAATAATCTTATATAAATTATGGAGATTATATAAGCATTATTATTTATTTTATTTGTAAGGATTGGTTGATATTTTTAAAATACAACCTTAAGAATTATTCAAAACTTGATATTCGCGAGAAGATATTTAAAATTTATATTTTTTTTAATATTAATAAACTTTTTATTTAAATTTTCCTAGGTATTATTTTAGATACTTTTGGTATTACATTTTATTATATTTTTTTTTTAGGGATTAAATAAATAACATATTTAAATTTATAATAAAATGGATGAAATATCTGATTTATTAAAAACATTATATCTATTATAATGCCTTATTTATCAGTAGAAAATATGTACTCTGAAATAAAAAATATCTACAACTTTAAATAAATAAATAGCAATTAAATATATTTTTTAAAAAAATTTAATATAATTATTATATTTATATTATTTTTTGTCATATATTTATATTGTTTAAACTATATTTTATGGTATTTTCAAACTTTATTTAATAAATTATATAAAACTTTATGTCTTTTTTAAATAAAAATCACGATTTATAGAAATATTAATTTTTTCTTACCTTTATATAATATTTATTTTAATTTTATATTACTAAAGAATCAATTTAATTTTAAAATTTTTTGTTTATATTAATTAATCAATTTAAGATAAAATTTTCTTAATCTAAGATAAGTTTTTCTTGTTTGATTTGTTAATCGTAATGGATAAAAAAGTTGATTTTTAAGATTAATAAGTAGATGATAATTAAGAGCTGGTTGAAGATTGCTTTACTGTTTTATCTTTATATTCTTAAAGAAGGTTTCAAAAAATATTTGATGTTAATTGTAATAATTAAAAATAAAAAAAATATTATTTAGATAAAGAAAGAAAAATAATATTATATAAGCTACCAAATATAGATATTAAAAATTATTCAAAAAGTCATATGAATCAATTAATAAAATTTATACTCTTTACAGACTAAGATTTTATTTTAAATTATATAAAAAATTAATTTAAAAAAAAAAATAATAAAAAAATAATTAAATGATGCTTAAAAAGAAAAAGTAATATTAAAATATATAAATTCAATAAAAAAATATTTATTATTTTATTTAAATTCATAAAATAATTTAATTAAAAATAGATATTTCAATTAATGGAAGAAACATATTTAGTTTAAAATTAACAATAAGGAAATTAAAGATAAAGTAAAAACATATTATTAATATTAATAACTAAGAAATGCTTTTAATAAATTCATATATGCAATTAAATTAGAAAAAAAGCTTAAAATATACAATTAAAAGTAAAACTAAAAAAGATTGAAAAAAGGATTTGTTTCTTTTTTAGAAAACAGTAAAATATAAGTTTGTAAATAGGAAACAAAGTAAAATGTTTAAGTATACTATTAACAAACTTTAATCTAAAAATATTTCCTATTTCTTTAAAAAGCTTGTAAGCATTTTCATTATGAATACTATAAAAAATTAAAATAAAAGCAGTGTTTTGTTAAATGGTATAATTATTTATTATAAAAAAAATAATAGAATACTCAAATAATAGAAAATTTCAAGAAAAAATAATTAAAAAAAAAGTTTTTTTCATTTTTTAAAAAAGTATGCAATTTTTAAAAATAAAATAAACTTGTAAGTAGATTTAAAATACTTTGTATTTTTAAAGCTTGGCTAAAACATTTATAAATGAGTAAAATAAAAGCAATTAATAAATAGAAATATATGAACTTTCTAAAAAAAAACATAATTAATATTTAATCAGATCTTATTTTAAAATATATTTTAAAGCAATTTAAATAATAAAATAAGAAAATGAAACAAATTTTAAAGGTAAAATAACTACTATTTAATGTAAAAGTTATAATTTTTTTTAATTTATTATAAAGTTGCTTTATATTATGAAAAAAGTTAAGTAAAAAGACTTGCAATTTATGGATTTTAAGGATTGCTTTTAAATGTTAAATTAAAAAAAGCCGAATAATTTAAGAAAAAAAGAATAATAAAATCTCATATTTAATTATGGAAAAAATATATCTTAAAAGCAAAAGAGAAAAAAATATAAATAAATAAATATTTCCTATAAAAGAAAAAAAATTAATTTAGAAATACTTTTAGAAATTATTAAAGTAAAATAATGTAAATTATAATCAAATCAATTTTTTTTTTTAAATATAAATAATTATGTTTCAATATATTTTATTTTATTTTATTTTAAAAAAAGGATATCCGATTTTAGTAAAAATAAGCTAGAAATGATGAAAGATTACTATATTAAAAAGCTACTTAAAAAATATATGTTTACGTGGATGCAAAATGTAGTTTAGTTATATATTTATAAAATAAATGATTCTAATAATTATTATGAATTCAAAATTAAAATGAATTGCTTCAAATAACTTTATTCTAATAAAATAAATAATTAGTGGAATTAATTTGTCAAATAAAAATATAAATAATTTATATAAAATAAAGAATATCATCTAAAATATAAAGCTTTCTCTAAATTTAAAGCTATAATTATATCAAAATTAAAATTAAAAAAAATTAACTTTGATATTGCATAATAAACTTTTTATAATTGGAAATTATTTATTAAGTTAAATAAATGCTAAATGAAAAACTTTAAAATAAATTGATGAAACTATATAATCTACCTTTATATTTTTATAGTTTTAATATTTATTATCTATTTTTTCTTAATAAAATATATATAAGTTTATATAATATTTTTAAATATTATTATGTAAATTAAAAATCTAATATAATTTTTTAATTCAAAAAATTACTTATTATAAAAATATAAAAAGGTTTTTTATTTTTCGAAATTAATAAATTTCTTAATTTTTATTGTTTTTTATATAAAATAATATTAAAAATTTTTGTGATAAAATTTAAAATAATAAATTATTTTTTTTTTTATTTTTTTGAAAAAAATATGGAAACAGATGAAGTTATAGCAAAAGAATATTTATAAAATTTATACAAATAATCAATATTAATACTCTAAAAGAAAATGATTAAACAAAAGAAAATATTAATTGCCAAAAAAATATAAATAATGAAAATTCTTCAACCAATAATATAAATAAAGTTAATCCTTATTTGCAAGAAAACATACAATTAAGGACTTAAATAGAATTATTAAAATAAGACATAACAGAAAAAGATGAACTAATAAATAATTTAATGAGAGAATTGCAAAAATATATATAAAAAGATGAGAAAAACAATAATATATTAGATCCACCTATATAACCGAAAATGTAAAGTTTCAAATAATCTTTATAAAATTCTCAATATGTATAATCATAATAAAGTTTACAATAATAAAATGAAATTTTTTAAAAAAAGCACCAAATAAATATTAACAATAATGATGATTTTTGGAACATAAAAAATGAGAATACGCTAAAACCAATAAAATCCTAAAAAGCTCATTTAGAATAAATTATGGACTAAGATAATTTATGGATAATAAAACATTCTTAAGGAATCTTAAAAAAAGATGAATAAAATTAACATAATAAATATTATGGAAATAGTATTTTCGGTTTAAACTAAAATTCAAATAACAATATTTTTCCTAAAAATTTATAATCTTAAAATCAGTATTTAGATTAAAAAAACGAATAAAATAAATTTAAATAAGGTTATGACAATTATAATGAATTTATTGATTAAAACTCCAATAGGAAAAATGATTTTACTACTAATTTGTAATAGTCTAATGATTTTTATAATAAGAGCAACTATTAAAATAATAAAAAACTTGAACCTATTAATTATAATAAATAAAAAATAAACAATATATGATAATTTTTTTACTTTCTTCTTGCATTTAATTTAAATTTATTATATATGTAAATGATTTTATATATTTTTATAATTTAATAAATTTAAAATCATATTTTAAAATAAATTAGTTTAATTTATTATTATTAATCCTAAACTATTAAATAAACTAATATTCATAATAATTATTAATATATTAACTATTTAAAAATATATATAATATACTATAAATAAAAATTTTTTAATATATATATATATATATATTATGTTTTTATTGAAATAAAAATTATTTAAATTATACTCTAAATTCTCATGTATTTATGTCTTTTTGTAGTATTTTTTTAAAAAAATTGTTTTTTGGATTTTTAAAAAACAGAAGGCGGTGGGAGGAGAGAAACTGCTTTAATCAATCAGGGTAAAATAATTATTAATAAAAATAATATTTTAATTGTATTTTTTTTATAAATGCCATTTTTATCTTTTTTACAAATGTTTTTTTTATTAATTATTATAAATTTTTATTTTTTTATAAAAAATAGATCAAAATAAATTATATTTAAAAAAAATTATTTAAACATATTAGTTTTTTTTAATTTAGATTTAATTTTTTTTTTTTAAAAAAAAAACAACCACAAAGTGAAATAAAATTAAAATATATAGTCTTATTTTTTATAGATTTTTTTTTTAAAAATTGATAAAAAATGCTTAAAAATACATATTACTTGTTATTTAATTTTTTTAAAAAAGTTAAATAATAAAAATAAAAAAAGCGAGAAAAAATAGATAAAGGCCATTTTTTTTGATTGGTTTTATATTAAAAAATTGCACAAAAAATAATGAAATCCATAGAATGATTTAAAACTTTTAGAAGATACGTACATTTTATATTTATCAATGCTATTAGTGATTTAAAATTCTCCAAATATATACTATATATGTGTATTAAATTTAAAATATATATATTATAAATATGTACATTAAATATAATATATACATTAAATTGTAAAAAAAATATTACTAAAATATATATTTAAATTTAAAATAATTATTATATGTAATTTAAAAAATAAAATAATATATTTAAAAAAAAAAAATGATGTCTTTTTAAAAATTTTAAAGGATATTTTTCAATATTTAAAAAATAATCCTAAGCAATGTATTCGGGATTTTAATAAAAAGAGGAAGTGAATTAATCATTTAGAGTATATATATTATTATATTTATAATAATAATATTTTTTCAATAAAATTTTTTGTAAGGATTATTTTTTTTATTTTTTTATATTGTATTGCACAAATAACTAATTATTAATTTTAAAATATTTAATAAGTTTAAAGTTATGATTTTATTATTTTTTTTATTTTTTATATTATATTTGGTATTTAAACTCATTTATAAAAATAATAATTTCATAGCTTATAATAATTAATTACTATGAATAAAATATTTAAAAAGATATTTATAAATAATAAGAAACAAATATTAATTTAATGTTAATACATAAAAAATAAGATAGAAATATAAATTTTATAATTATAAAAAAAAATCAATAAAATAAAATAAAATTAGTAATAATAAAAATAAAAAAATGAGTTAAAACGAATATGAATAATATGAAGACTAATATTATCAAAATTGTAAAACTAAAAATTATAGATGAATATTTTAAAATCTTTAAATATTAAATTTTATTAAAAAAACAAAAATAAATAGAAGATGATAATAATCATAATAGTTAAGTTCATAATATGTCAGACTAAAATCATTAATAAAATAGTGATTAATAATCATAAGTAGAAAATTAAAACTAAATACAATTAAACATAAATAATGTAAATATTTTAATAGAATGATTTTTTTTTATAAATATTAAAAATATTTAAAAAAATATATTTATATATATATATTATAATAGACATAAATAATATTTAAAAGATAAGATAATAGTATTGACTTAAAATTATTTATTGGATAATTGCCTAAAGCATGGTACTTATATATATTATAAACACTATAATAGGTAAATAATTAAAAAATAAAAGGGAAAAGGAATAAATCAAAGAATTTTTCTCAAAATATGGAAAAATATATGAAGTTTAAATTATAAGAGATGCTAAAGGATAACATAAAGGATGTGCTTTTGTAAAATTTGCCTCTATGACCGATGCAGAAAGAGCCATAGCTGATTTAAAAAATAAATCACTGCCAGGAGTATATATATATATATAAGTATAACATAAAATGAATTAATTAAATAAAAAATACTATAAAAGATGAAAAATAATATCGAAATTAAATGGGCTGATAACGAAGAAGAAAGATTAGGTGTTAATTAAGATTCTGACCATAAATTATTTGTCGGTTCATTACCAAAAACATGCACTGAAGTATTTTAAAAATAAACAAATTATTATTTAAATTTAAATAAATTAAAATAAAAGTAAAACATAAGGGATATTTTTGAAACTTTTGGAGAAATAGAAGAACTACATTTAATGAAAGATAGCTAGAATAATACCAGATAAGCATTTTTAAAATACAAATTAAAAGAAAAGGCTCATTTGGCAATAAGAAATTTAAATTCTTAAGTTTATATAGGAAATTCTGAAAATCCAATTGAAGTTAGATTTGCGAAAAAATATGTTGAGTCAGAACACTAAAAAGTATAAAAATAAAAAAAGCTTATTTTTATATAGAAGTTATAATATAAATTAGGTTTAACATAAAACAGAATAAGCAAATATTCCTTTTGTTTCTGTAAAAAAAATAAGCCTTTTTTTTAATTTTTTTCTTATTTTTTTGTTTATATTTTTAAATTTTAAAGTGGCAAAAAATATACTTTAAATATTATACAGAAAATAATTAACCTTATTATTATCATCCTTATACTAATTAAAGTACTTACGAAAGACCATCTACAGGTTCCCTAATTCATGATGTAGATGGAAGTTCTGAATATATTGAACTAAATTCAAAATAACTATTAATGCCAAAAAATGAACCTTTTGTTATAAATGATAGAAAAGATGTTTGTAATATTTACTTTTTTTATAATAAATTTAATTAATTATAAGTTTTATATATAAAAATAAGATGATGGTAAAAAGCATGGTCCTCCCGGTTCAAACTTATTTATTTTTCATCTCCCAACTGATTTTAGAGATTCTGATCTAGAAAGAATGTTTTCTTAATTTGGAGAAGTTATATCTGCAAGAGTAAATACAAGACCTGATGGTACTAGCAAAGGATTTGGTATTTTTATAAAAAAATATATGTGTTTTAATACTAAATACTAAATACATTTTTAGGCTTTATTAGTTATAATTCAGCTAAAGAAGCTGAAGACGCTATAAGAAATTTAAATGGAGTTTAATTAAAAAGTAATAATTTTTTTTTAAAATATATTTTACATAAAATGAAAAATTATATATTTAGATAAAAGATTGAAAGTAGAAATTAAAAAAGAATAAACAAATTCAAATTCTTTAATTAAAACTACTTTTAATCCTTTTTGAGGATTATATTAGGAGAAAAATAATTAAATATTTAAAAATAAAAATGATGAAAAAAAATAAAAAAATTATTAAATAAAAAATAATAATAAAAAAATTAGATTTTGTTAAGACATTATTTTAAATAATAATTCTTCTTTTTATATTAAAAATAGTTAATTCAAGTAAAACAATAATAAATAATCCTTTCAACTGCTCAAAATAAAAAACAAAAAACAAAAAAATACAAAAAAAATAGTAAAATGCTAAAGGTTTAAAAATTTTACATGTTTAATTATGTATTTTTATTTTGTCAAAAACAATTTACATATATCTTTTAAGTTATTATTACTACATGTTATCTATTTTTATCTATTTGTTATTAATTTAGCTATTTTTATTAATTTTTTAATTATTAATAAATAAATCTTCGTTATATTTGTTTAATAATTTAATAATGAAATTTTTATATATATGTATATATATGTATATGTTTTAATAATATATAATCATCACAAAATAAAAGTAAATCAATTAATAATATCAACTAATATTAAATAAAATTTTCTATATAAAATAAATTTAATAAATATAAATAAAATTTTCTATTTAATTATTAAATATATATAATTAATACTCGAAATGTTTAAAATATTAATTATTTTCTTATTTAATTTTTTTATTTTTTACAAAATATATATAAATTTATAATTATCAAGAAAGCTCGGGTAGCTCAGTTGGTTAGAGCGTGGGTCTAATAAACCCAAGGTCGAGGGTTCAATCCCCTCCTTGAGCATTTTTTTTTAGAAAAGAATTTAATAAAATATATACATTTTTGTTTGTTTTTATTATAAAATATCTTTCTATTAAAACTTATATGATATTAATTTTTTTATTTTATATTTATTCTTTTTTATTTATAAATTTAAAAAAAAAAATAACAATATAAAAAATTAGATATATTTTCATTTATATATATAAAATATCATTCAATTATAATTTCGTCAGGTTAATCCTACCCACCTTCAGGATCAATATAAATGTTATTCATAACAACTGGTATAATTTCCATATTTTTAGTTAAAGTATCTTTAGGAAGAAGAAGAAATTAATTATTAAATTAAACAGGAAAAGCAAATTTAACTTAAAAAACTTAATCAAAACTTTCAGGTTTTTAAATATTTTTAATATCACAAATAATGGAGCTTTTGAAAAATACATATTTAGAATGAATTACTTTCACATGAGTTCCATTTTATAGTAAATAAATTTTAGATATTAATTAATTATAAGTTTTTGCAAATTAATATATTTTTGGTGTTAACCAGTAAAATGCATAAGCATAAAATATAAGTCCATACCATTTTCTTTCTTTATAGTTTCTTAATTTATTAAAAAAATAATATGCGGTATAGCTTGTAATACCAATTATTGCATAGCAAGCAATTGATATTTTGTCAAAAATATCATATTAAAATATTTTACATTATCCATTTATAAAATTAAGTCTTTCCTTTGGTAAATATCTACCATAATTTGATGAATTAAATTAATATATTAATTGATTTTTATTTTTTTGAAGATTTATATTAAATAATAATAATTTTTTTATCATTTTTATTTTTTAAAAATTAAAAAAATAAATATATAAATCTATATATTAATTTTTGATTTATTAATAAATTATAAATTTATTTATATTTACAATACTTAATTTCTTTATTATAAATATTATAGTAATAAACATATTTATATATATTATTTTATCTCATTATAAATAGCTTTATTCATATGTTGATAATAATATTTAAATAATATTATTTAATTAATCTTATTGTGTAGACTTTATAATATTATTTAAAAATTAATAAGTATTTATATCTTCAAATTCTATTTGTTTCAAAAATCTTTTTAAATAAACATATGTTTGTTTTTAATCATTTTCTATTTTGTTAAAAAAATTTAAAAAATCAAACAATTTTTCATTTAATTCATTAAATCTTTTTAAATCTCTATAAGCTGCTTATCTATTATTATTATAAAATAAAAAATAACTAGATGCAATGCATAAATTAACATAGGAATCTTAATAATTTTATTTTAGTTTTTGATTTCCTATATTATTTTTTTAAAATTAAAACCATTTTTGTATATTATGTGGTATTTAATAATGTAAAAAATCACATAAATTTCCTTTATTATAAAAGGGAAATTTATTTTATATAGAATCAGGTTAAACTTATACTTATTAAATTAGCTTATTTAAATTTTATTTATTAATCAAATTTAAATGCATTAAAGCTTAGATTAATTATTCCATTAAAACATCCTTTTATAATTTATTTTTTTATTAATTTTTATATCTATATATTTACTTAATCAATATAATAAGAAGGAAAATAATTATATTAGAGTTTAAGATGAATTTATTTTTATGCTAATAATTATATGATATTATATACTTATTCACGATGCTTATATATTAATCTGTTTTTATTTATAGTATCTAATTTATTTAATATTATTTTACTTTTTTATATATACTCCTTTATGACCATTCACCCATGTAATTATAATTTAATCAAAGTTTTAAATATTTTTATTTTTTATATTAGTTTATATGTTTTTATTAAACTTGAAAACCTATTTATATAAACTTCATTCGAATTAATTTAATTATATATTTATTTTTTTACCTCTAAATGAAAACAAGGCATGTTTACTCTACTTAAAAATTAAAAGTTATCTTATTTTAAATCAAACGGATTTAATTTAAGTAATTAATTTTGGTCGATATTTAAATCATTTATTTTTAATTATTTTATATGTTTTGACAAATATCTGTAAAACATTTTTAAAATATTATTGATTTTTTAACAAATCCAAAATAAATATTTATATTTATTATAGTATAAAAATATATTTAATATTTTAAAATTATATCTCTAAGTATTTTTGTTGATATAAATATTACAATTTATTTATATTGTTTCAATATTGTTTCTTATGTTTTAGTACAATATATTTTTGTATCAAGCCTTTTATTTGCAAATAATAAAATTTTATTTAAAAAAATTGTAAGATTAAATTTTTCTTAAGTTAAAATTTTCTGAAAAAAGAAAAAAGAAAAAAATCAATAAAAATATCATACATCACTTTAAATAATTTTCATTAATTTAAATATAAATTTAAAATTATTATCAAACAAAGAGACACCAATATTATTATTTATATTCAAATAGACCAGAAAAATCCAATTAATTAAAAATAGAATACATATACATATATATATATATATATATATATATATATATATATATATATATATAAACATAAACTATTTTCTTTCAAACATTTTTATTTATAAAGTTTTGTAATGATTTGATGTCATTTAATGACTTTTTATAACATATATTATTATTTTTATTTTAATTTAAACAATTATTTAATTGATTTTATAATAACTCTTTTCCTAAATTAAAAATTATAAATTATTTATCACAACTATCACTACATTCATTTTTCATATTTAAATCAAAGCATTTTATGCATTATTCTAATGCATTTTATAAATAAGCTTTATATTATTACTTTAAATATTAGTTATATGATTCTTCCATAAAAAAAAATTTATTTTTATTTTTTCTTTTAAACAAAATTTTTAAAATAAAAAGATATAAATATATATATATATTTTAAATATAATACACGATTAGTATTTTTAAAAAATATAAATTAAAATAACATATTTATAAATTTTTATTATTATGATTACATTAATAAATAAAATATTTGAAAAAATATATTAATGATGATTTTTATAAAAAAATGGTTTTAATATATTTGAAAAAAAAAAAAATGGTTAAATTAAGAAATTATAAATTTACAATTAAGTTTTATATTTATTTTCTATATTTTAAAATAAAGTAAATATATTTTTTTTTTAAAATTATATTTATTTTTTTAAATTATTTATAATAATTTTATATTATTATTATTTATTTATTCTTTATTAAAAATTGTATTTATTTAAATACTTATTAAAAAATAAATAATTTTTCAACAATATTTTTATTTTAAAAAAATTCAAAAAAGAAATTTTTACATATTATATTTTTTTTTTTTTAAGTAAATGTAATAATAAAATTAAGGCACAAATAATAATCAAGTAAATAAGAATTTATGTTAAGGACAAATTCTTCATGAAAAGAAAAAAAATAAGAACAATTAATGGATAATTAAAAATTCTTATGAAATTTAAACTAAATTAGGTAAAGGAGGATTTGCCAAAGTATATTTAGGAAAAGATACTTAAACAAATGAAAAATATGCAATTAAAGTAGTGGAAAAATAGTCTCTTATAAAAGATTCTTTCAAAGAAAAAGTTTTTATAAATAAAAATAAAAAATATTCTTTTTTAAATAAAAATATTTCTTATTTTTTTAAAATATAGCTAAAACAAGAAATTAATTTCCAAAAAATTCTAAATCATGAAAATATTGTAAAATATCATACATCGTTCGAAGATTAACAATCAGTTTATATAGTTTTGGAATATTGTAGTAATTAAGTAACATCTTAATTATTTAGTTTAAATAAAAAATTAAAAATAATAAAAAGACATTTAAAGAGTTATTAGATAGAAGAAAAAGACTTACTGAAATTGAAGTAAAAAGTCATTTGATTTAAATTATAAAATCACTTTAATATAGTCACTCTAAAGGAATAATACATAGAGAGTATATAAAAAAAAAAATATTAAAAAAATAAATAAATAAAGTTTAAAAATTGCAAATATATTCCTAAACCATAACATGGTAGTAAAATTAGCTGATTTTGGTCTTTCAGCATAAATAGATTTTCCAAATTAAAAAAGAAAGTATTTAAAATTTAAAAATATTGAATAATAATAAAAATAAAAAAAAGAACTGTTTGTGGAACACCAAATTATATAGCTCCTGAAGTATTAAAAAATCTTGGGCATGATCATATGGTTGATAATTGGGCTTTAGGAGTAATAACATATACATTTTTAATAGGAAAACCTCCATTTGAAGAAAAAGAAGTAGAAAATACATTAGCTAATATAAAAGCAAATAGATATTTATTTCCAGTAATATTTTTAAAAATAAAAATAAAAACAAAAATAAGGAAAACATAACTATTACAAACGAAGCTAAAGATTTTATTTAAAAAATACTAGTTTAAAATCCCCAAGAAAGGCTTAATTTAGAAAATATGCTTTCTCATTAATTTCTTTAGAGTATTCTATATTAAATTCCTTAAAATATGCCTAATAGTACTTTAGCATTACCTCCAATGGAAAATTATTTGAAGAAAATATTAAAATATTAAAATCTTAGTTAAGAAAATACAAATAACTATGATAATAAAAAGTGCTTTGATTAAGAAAATTAAGCCGTTATTTTATATTAATACACACATGTAATTGATTATATTGACTGCAATAATAATTTCTAGTTGGCTTTTTATTTAAATAATGGAAATGCTGGAATAATATTTAAAGAAGGATTTATTGGAATAATAATATTAAATGGGTTTTTTTTTTTTCTTAAAAAAAATAATTAATTATAATTATTACATTATACGAAGTTATACGAATTTATTAAAATATAAAATTAATAAATTATTAGAAATTAATATAAAGTTGATGAAATTCCTGATATTTTATAGAATTATTATTAAACAAATCTTTAAATAAAAGTATATTTCTACAATAAGAATTTGATTATAGTAAATTATTTTAATTAATTAAAAATTTTTATATATATTTTTAAAAAATAGAATTCAACTGAAAACTAAATAAATAATCAAGATGATTAATAAATTTATGTTAAAAAATTCAACAATACATAATAAGCTTCATTTTTTAGGTTTAGTAATAAAGATTTATAAGCAATTTTTTATGATAAGTCTTAAATAATAATATCATAAAGTAAAAAATAAATTTATTATAAAGATAAAAATGGTTAGGAACAAATTTATTGTATTAAATAAAATCAAGAAGTCCCTGCTGAAATTACAAAAAGAGTAAGTTATATTAAAAATAATATAAGTAATAAAGTTAAAAAATTTATTAATACTGCTGCATCTACAAATAATTCTAATTAATCTAATGCATTAACAGATAAAATATTTTTAAGTTAAAAAATATAGTTAACTCCAGTTAAATTATGAAAAATATAAATTAAATTATCTTAAGTTATATATATATATATATATTATTATATTTAAAATATTTTGGAAGAAATTAAATATATAATTCTTCATATTTAGCTAATTTCAACAATTTTTTTTTTTTTCTAAGAAATTATTTAAAATAAATAAATTTACAAATATATTAAATTAAGTGATTAGATATATTAAATAAATTGATTTCATATTATTATTATTTATTTTTGTTTCATCATATAACTGCGCTATTTTTAAAATAAATAGTCGGATTCCATTCATTAATTTTTTATATAATATTTTTATTTTACTCGATTTTAGAAATATTATTAATTTTAGCATTATTAAAAGAATATAAATTTTCATTATTTTTTTTATTAACTTAGCTATTTTATTTCTGATATTAAATTTATTAAAATGATTAAACTCTTTTTTATTCTCTCTAGGATTTTTTAAGGACATAGTAATCATTTTTATCATCACAATCATAATAGAACTTTTCGAATTTTTCTTAAAAGCTTATATTATAAATTAACTTACTTTATTTTTTCTGTTCATTATTTTTAACTTTAAGTTTAATAAAATCAACCATTTAGTTAATATTTTTATCTTTATTTAATTTAGGGGCATATCTTTATACAATTCTATCTTCTAAAAACAAATTGAAATAAATAATATTAAAATTATAAAAAAAAAAAAATCAAATAAATATTAAAAATACATATTTTTTGCCAAGGCATGTTTTTTAGCCAAGAGTGTTTTTTAATATCTTCAATTCCATAATACCCCATTCTATTTTAAGGCTTTATATAATTTATATATTATATTATAATATATTTAAATATTTTCTAATGATATAAAATAAAAAATACTTTTTTCTATATTAATTTATTCATAAAATCAGCTCCAAATGGATCCCAATCTTCAGGTAAATCTTCTTATTTTACTTATATTTTATCCCTCAAAATAGTTCTTATAACATCTTCGTGTGTATAATTTCCTTATATTGCTTTCTATTTTTATTTTTTTATTGACAATGAATAAAATAATATATACGTATATATACATTTCCAGTTGTTATTTCATATAATATAATGCCTAGAGAATAATAATCAGCTTCAAAGCTAGGTTATTATCTTAATAAAACTTCTGGCGCAAGATATTAAGTAATTAAACTTTTAGAAATAAATTCTTATTATTTACTATTTTATTCTTCAAATTCATCATCTGAATCATCTTCTATAAAAGCATGTTCAAAACCTGAAATACAACAATATCCGTATTCATCAAACAATATATTCTCAGCTTTTAAACCTACAATGACTATATTATTTGAATGAATATATTCTAAACCTAAAATAAGACATGCTAATATAAATTCTTTTTATAATAAAAAAATATACTAATTAAATTTTTTGTTACTAATTTATTCTTCACTAAAGGATTGATTTATTTTTTATTAATAAACTAAATCCTTTCCTTTTTAATAATCTTATATTAAATATAAGGATTCGTAATCTTAAAAGGCATAATATAAATTTGAAACAAATTAGTTTTTTAAAATTGTATTTATTTTTAATTCTCTTTATACTTATTTTATGTTCCGGTTATTATAAACACTATATTTTTGTTTTTTTATAAAATAAAATAAAATTACTTTTCTTTATTTAAAACTTTCATTTAATATTGTTATTAGTTTTTATATTTTTCTACTAAATATAAATTGAAAATTTAATTCGATTAATCTTATAAATATTTTATTATTCTAAAATCTGCTCTACTTATGGATTTATCTATATTTTTTTATATTTATAAATAGTTTTTTTATTTTTAATATATATTACGTTAATTAAATGCCTAAAATATCTCTTAAAAATCTTCATTTTAAATTTAATATGATTGTCTTATTCCCATATTATTATTAATAAAAGTATTTTGAATTTAATAATTTTAATAAATTAATTAATATAAATTTTTATAATATATGTTAAAAAGACTTGTAATTTTTAATTTTATATAATAATTTTTTTATTTCAAATATCTTTAAAAAACCTTTTAACCATTTTAAAAATTATAGTTATTTAATAAGGGAATAATACATTTGTTTAACGTTATTTTGAATTAATAAATAAAATATAATTAATATTAATTATAATTTTTATAATCATAACTTTAAATATAATTTAATAATTTTTTTATTTTTATTTTATAAAGAAGAAAATAAAAATATTAAAAAATTTAAAAAAAATTAAATATAAAAAATATATTTAAAAAAAATAAAAAGTTAAAATATTGAAGAATTTATTGATAAAAAAAGTAAAATAATATTTAAATTTAAAAAAAAACATAATATTTATATTTACTCAAGTGTAAAAAAATATATTTTTTTCAAAAAAAATAATAAACATTTACATACAAACAAAAATGATAAATAATAATCTAAATACACTATCATTTACATCTCCCACAAAATTCAAAATAAACTAAGATTTAACAGGGTTTTTAATTAAACAAAAAAAAAAATATATAAAATTTTAAAGTAGTAAAACTTTAGCTACATGTACAAGTGAAAACTTAAGAAGTGACAGTGTAATTTAAGGTAGAAAAATCGAATAAAATTTAACAGAAAATATATAATATCGAAGAATTACCGGCAATACAAGTAAAAACATTAAAATATTATAATATTAAAAAAAAAAAAAAAAGAAAAGTTTCCTTAATCAATAAAAACTGGAGATAAAAAAAACATTCGTTTACACAAAAATATAAGTGATAAAAGCAGCCATTCTTACAATAATAAAAGTGCGAATAATCTTTAAAGCCTTGAAAAGCTAAAAAGCTCTACTTAATTTAACCGAAAAAACCGTATATATACTCAAAATAATACAATAAACAATAATTAATAAATATCCTAAAGTATTTAAAAAGAAACCAAAAAGCACCAAATTTCTTACGAAAAGCCTGTAAGATTAAATATAAATTAGTCATAAGGTCCACAAAAGCAAATTGAAAATTAAAAAATATGCAAAACATAAAGTATAAATAAGTAAATATAATCTATATAATCGCATTCTTTACAGAAAAAGAAGAAAATAATAATAAGTAAATCACAAATAAGTAAAAAAATACATAAAAATACAATTTAAGAACAAGAAATAATGAATATGGAGACATAATATGATTTGCATTAATTATTTAAAAATCATTCTAAAAACTAATAAAAAAAAGATAATAATACTATTAATATGCGAAAAAAATAATAAAATTGTATGAAAAAATAACTAGAAAATAATATCATTAAACAAATGAAGCTCAACAATATTAATTAATATATAAAATAAATAAACTCTGTAAGTTAAAAAAAAAAAACTCAAGAAATCAATAGGAGGTTACCTTGGGGTTCAAATTAAGAAAGGCTTAAAAGTTATGCAATTTCAATTATTGAAAAAATCTAAAAATAAGTTAATAGTTCTTAAAATTTAGACAGAGAAAAAAAAGCGTTTTTATATTTAATACATATATATAAATATATATTATTCAAATAGATTGGATGATAAATAAAGAAAATAATAATTTGGATTAGATGCTTTAAATTAAGAAAGTATTTTATATTAAATAAAAAAAAAATACCATAAGTTAAATAAAAAGGGAATAGAGAAAAATCAAAAGAAAAAGAAAAAGAAAAAATAAGAGGAGACATAGAAATTTAGAAAAGTAAAAAATACGAAAATGTTGAAAAGAAAGTTGAAGTATAAACTTATATTTAGTAAAAAAAAGAAAAACTAGAAAAATAAATTCACGAAAAGAAAATAGATAAATATATATAAGTTCAAAAAAAACAGGAAAATTTAAAATAATTATAATCTCGTTTAAAATCAATAGCTTATCGTTTAAAAAAACATTAAAAAAAGCTCTAAAATACATCTGAATTAAAAATAAAGATAGAAAATCCTACTAATAATAATGGCTCTTTTTTTAACCCAAGTCATAAAAATAATAAAACTGAATAACGTTTTATACCTTAAAATTTTAAAGAAAATTCTTTTAAAAATGATGATTATAGTGGATTATATGATGAATTTAAAAAGTTAATGAGCTAAGCTGCAAAAAGTGAAACCTTTAAAATTATAATTCCAAAAAAAGGAAAAGAAATTTAAAAAAAAAAAGACGAAAATTAAATTATTAAAAAAAAAAATGAAAAAAAATAAAAAAAAAGATACCGAGAAGAAATGTTTTCATAAACAAAATAAAAGTTCTCCTTAATTCAATAAAGATTATAACTTTTAAAAGAAAAAAGTGAAAAAGAAAACTATTAATTAAAATAACAAGAAGTACAAGAAAAACATTAAATAGAAGAAAATAAAGATAACTAAGGAGATGAAGAAATATCTATCCAAATATTAGAAAATTCCGCCATATATATATAAAAAATGTGGCGAGGATATTTTACCCGAAAAGTACTCACTTATTATTTAGAAATGTTAAATGAAGAAGGAAAAGAAGAAAATGAAATTGAAGAAGAAGAAGAAGAAAAATAATAATAATAAGAATTTGACTTTTAAGGGAATAATTTTTAATGCACAAATGAAAAAATAACTCATATTTCAACTATAAAAAGTTCCTTAATTTAAAGTGAAGAATAATAAATGAAAAAAGATGCTGAAAACTGGCTTTAAATAGGAAGTAAAATATGTCTTTTGAAAAATTTAAACAGTGATTAAGAAAAAAATTAATTTTATGAAATTTTAGAAGAACTTTCTGAAAAAAATAAAGATAAATTTATTTAATATATTAATTAGTCTGAAAATAATTTAAATGACAAAAATGACGAAAATGACTTTTTATTATAAATTAAAGGTATTTTTTAAAAAGAAGAAGAATTTTTTTTAAAAAATGAAGAAATTAAAAATGAATTTAACTCAGAAAAAAATTTCTTCTTTTCTTAAAACTCAAATAATAATAATAATAGAGAAAAGTCACACTCTTTAAACTATGATATTTAATCAGAAAAATCTTTCAATGAGAATCTTAAATATAAATTTAATTCCCCATAAACTAAAAAACCTCATAATTTACAACTTGTTGAAAGTAACGAAAAAACAAACACTTTTTCATAAAAGGAAGTCTAAATCAGTTCTTTTTTTTAATAATAACAATAATAATAATAAGAAAGGAAAAAAAACTTATTCCAATAAGAAATATGCACCGAATATTACAAAACAGATGAAAAAAACGTTCTCTAAAATAAAGATTCCTTCCAAGAATTTACCGAAAAAAAAATAAAGCAATTACTTTCAGAAGAAAATATAAATGAAATTTTAAAACTGAGAGAATAAGCCTTATAGATGAGATGTTAATCATAAGTAATTTTTTTTTAAAAAAAAAAAAATGTTTTTTGACCAAAAAAAAGTATAGATAAATGCCATGAATAAAATGTTGACTGAAAATATTGTTTCTCCTAAAACATATAAAAATAAAAAAAATTAACTTGAAGATTGGGTTAAATAACAAGAATTAGAAATTCAAAAAACTAAAAAATTATTATAAAATGGACTTTTAAAGGCCATGTAAAGTATTAAAAGTACCAAAAGAGATATTTTATTAGCTTAAAAATATAAATTAAATCCTTTTAAATTTGACTCTAAAAATTTATCAATATCAGATGATGATTTCCTTTTTAAAAAAAAAGATAATGCGCCACTTTCTGCAAGGTCAGATTCAGATAATTATAGCGATCAATTATCTAATTCTTAAGGATTTAAAGGAATTTTTAAAGACACAGACACATAAACTCCTACAACTAAAAATAATATATAAATTATTGAAAAACTTTAAGTTTTGATGAATAATGAAAAATAACTTCATGTAACCCCTCCTTTTTGTAAAAAAAATGAAACTTTGATTGGAGATAATAATAAATAAATTTCACCTATTCTAATAGATAATAATATTAATGATAATAATAATAATTTAGAAATCAATAATTAAAATAATAATAAAGATTATGAAAATAATAATAAACAAAATTAATAAAAAGATGAAAATAATAAAATTGCACATTTACATTAAAAACCAGAGTTTTTAGTAAATTAATGGTTTTCTTTTATTTTATTTATAATAAAAATATAAAGGAAAAAAATGAAATAATATAAGAAATTCATAATAAATGCAAAACTTTAGAACAAATCGAATCTAGAATTAAAGAATAACATGAAATAAATCATTTTTTTGATAAATCAGATACTTATGGAATATCAACAAATTTATTTACTATAATATAATATATAAAAAAGCTATATGATTATATAGCAAGTAAAATTTATTATTATTTTATTTTATTTTTAGCATAAAATAAAAAAAAAAGAAAATTATAAATAAATATTCATAAATAATTTAAATAATCCGTTTGGGTTTGCTCCATATAAAAGATTAAAACTAATACATGGATATGATTCCTTTATTGAAAATTCAACTTTAGATGAGAACGAAGATTATATAACTCTTCCTTTTGTTTTAAGTGAAGATTTATTTATTGAATTCGAACAAAATATTATAGTAAAATAAATATATAAATATGTATGTTTTTTTTAAAAAAAATAAAATAAGGGAAACGGAGAATCAGAAAAAGAATAAATAGTAAAAGAATTTGAACATATTCATAATAAAGCCATTTTTGATACTTTCAATGAAGCTCTTAATATTTTTAGACCTTTTTATACTTTAGGAGGTTAACCTTATTTATGGTCTACCTCTGAAAAAAATCTATTATTTAAAAAAATAAATGAAAATGATCTCTTCTAAATTATTGATAAATCAAATTGTAAAGTTATTGAATGGTCCACTTCTCTTTGTGGTCTTATTAATGAAGAAGAAATTTCCAGAAATATTCCTCATTAAGATGAAAATGGTAAGCCACCTTCTTTACATGTTTTATTAGAAAATATTACTTCATCAAATGAGTATTTGGCATAAGTTAGGGAGGAAAAGCTATCTAAAATGCTATTAACAGAGGTTTTTTTTGATTTTTAATTGTTAACATTTTTTTTTTTTTTAGATTTTTGAAAATGAATATAGATGGTAACTTTATGAAGATGAAAAAGCTGAAGTTACTATGGAATTGTCAGATTTGGTTTTTGAAGAGATAATTGAAAATATTATTTATGAATTATAAAATACCTTATGAAATCAATATCATTTTTTCCATTTTTTTTGATTTTTATTAAATATATATAACTTTTTTTTTTTATAAAAATGTATTTTATTATTTTGTTTTTTATTTAAAATTCATATTTTAATCTAAAAAAATGTAATTTGCAATTTATTTATCAAAACAAAGCATAATATAATATTTGTATTAATAAAATAATTTATATATCTATTATTTCTATTAAATAAAAAATAAAAGAAAAATAATTAAATTATTTACAAAATAAAATATAACAAAATATAAAGTTAATGAAAATATTTGCTCAATTTGCTAATTAAAAATAAGAAAAATTGTTAATGTTTTAAATATTTAATGCATAAAACTTTCCATTATAATAAAACATATAAAAAATACAATTAATATATTCATTATACAAATTTATTACTTAAACTGAACAAAAAACTTTTTAGATATTCCTAATATCATTAATAACATTGATTTACATATATTTAATTAGTAAATCACGAAAATTATTATTTATAGGTTTATTTACACAATCATTACTTTTGTAAATAATAATGGATACCTAAATAAAGACAACAGAATTATTTTTTAATGTTTAGACTCTCCATTTAAGTATTATATTAATGCTAAATGATCTATAATATTTGTTTTTAATATCTGTATAATCATTTATATTTTATTATTAAAGGGAAATTTAAAATAAAATGGATTTTTTTTTTGAAATATTAATAACTTTTACACTATATAAAGCAATAAATATATATTTAAGAAATATTTGGATATAACAAAATAAATAAATACAATAACAAAAAAATTCAGAAAATATAATAGAAAACAGTCTTTCGAATATATTTATAATGGATACTAGATTAAAAATATTATATATGAATAAATAAGCATAGAAAATATGGTAAAAAACTATATAAAACGAAAACCAATAAGCATAAAACATTATAGAAATTATAGAAAATAAATAATTTTTAGAAGAAAAAATAGGCGAATTTTTAAATAATGAGGATTCTTTTATTTCAAAAAAATAAAAACCAAAAAAGAATTTAAAAATGAACCTTTTTTTAAAAAACAATGTTTTATATAATCTTAGAATATAAGAAATAATATATAAAGGAAACAAATGCTTCCAAGTACATTTAATAAAGAAATCACATACATAAAGAATTCTTTCAATAAATGAGTTTTTTGCATCTAAATTAGTTAAAAAGTTCACCGAAAATATTTCACTTTTGGAAAAAGATTACCATAAATGGAATAATATGGTTTCTTTAAATATCATAAAAAATAATGATTTGGCTGATTTTTCATTTTCTCTTAATTAATTACATCATTCATTTAATTAAATAAATATGCTTTCTTTTGTTAATTAATAGTTCTTGCTTAATCAATAATTTGTTTGGGAAAAATTCGATATAAGAAATACTATTGTACACATAGTTGAAGTTGTTCTTGTTAAAAAAAGTCATCTTTTGTAAAATTTGGAAGTTATTTTTGAACATTCGTTTCCTTAAGGACAAGTTATGGGAGATTATGTACATTTTCATAGTCTTTTTATGCATTTATTAGAACTTATTTTCATAGAAGACTAAGAAAAAAGAAAGAATTCATCAGAACAAAAAAGAGAAGTAAGGATAGACTGCAAATTAAAAGAAATAAGTAAAAATGATGGAAATTATGTTCTTTTATTTGATTTTATATTCAAATGTGAAGAAAACTAAGAAATTATTTTATAAAAAGCCATAAGAAAAAGTAAAAATATAAAATATTTTATTGAGCCAAAAAAGTTTTTGAAAAAAAAATACGGTGAAATTCTCGTTGATTTTTTCATTGTTTAAAAGCTTGAAGGAAATATTGATTTTTTCTCTTATTAAGATACTTAAGATAAAAAAATTATTTCTATTGAATTAAATTTTAAAACTATTCAAATGCTTAATTTAACTCCTTCTAATACTACATAAAAATTAAATTATTTGGATTCTTCTAATCGCATTTAAAATTAAATTTTATTGAATCTAACGTTTTTAAGAGAAAATCTTAATAATAAAAATATGTTTATATTTATTTTTTTATTATTATTTTTATATATATTTTTATATTTATAAAAGATTTTAATGGAAATTTTAAGAAGAAAATAAATGTACTAAAAAATAATACAAAAATACTTTGAAATAAAGCTCTATAATACCTTAACCGAAAAATATTAACAAATAAAAAATTATTGAATAATCTTCTTAAAAAATCAGAAAAAAAAATTCTATTCATTTATCTAGTTAGTAATCACTTAAAGGCGAATAGATTTTACAAGAACTAAAAAACTATAATTCAATTTAAAGCGAGATTATTTAATTAAATAATTAGTAAAATCACAAAAAAACTAAAAGTGAGAAATTAATAATTTATAACTAATAAAACTATTAAAAAAAGGAAAATAAAACTTAGGAAAATATCAAAAGTATTTCATGTTCTAGGTAGAAAATAAAAACTTCCCAAAAAGAAATTCTTTTAAACAAAAATTAAAAAAAAAAATAACTTGATTGTATCATTAAAATTTTTGGATAATAAAACATTAAAAATATTGTTTCCGAATCAATAAATAATTTAAAAAAATCTTTTTTATAAGAAAGTTAAATAATACTTAAATAAATATTAAAGTAATCCGTTATTTTTAAAGACCAATAAGTAAAAAAAAAATCTAACAAAAAACATAATTTTAATATAGATTGACATAAAAGAAATTATATAAAAAAAAAAAAGCTAAAAATCTTCTTACTAACTAAGTGATTCAGAACCAAACTAAAATAAAATTTTACCTAAGTTATTTTAAAGACGTTAAATTAGAAATTTAACTTTTTTAGATTAGTTTACTCCTAGTTTAAGGCAATAGAAAAAAATCTAAAAAAAAAGTGAAATGAAATCTCCTTCAAAATTAAGCTTAAATGTAGAAAGTTGTGGCAACAATATTATTGAAATGTCATCAAATTTAGAAAAATATAAAAAAAGTTTTTTTGGGAATTTAAGTCCTTTTTTAGGTGAAAAAACCTAAAGCCTAAGTAGCTTAAATAATGAAGAAATTAATATTTAAAGAAGTAAATAAAATTTAGATTTTACAACATAAATTGAACACATATAATTAATTCCTATAAATAATATTAATAGTAATGATAATAATGTTATAAATAGTACAGAAAAAAATAAAAACTCATCTATATCTGAAATTATAAAAAGTAAATATTTTTCGAAACAAATTAATATTTCAAGAGCTACGACTTAAAAAATAAAATGGTTAGCAGATGAAGTTTGGAGAAAATAGGTTTTTTCTTTTTATTTTTTTTATTTATTAAAAATTAAAAAAATAATAATAAGGTCTATACAACTTCTAATACTATTTTAGCTTATACTGAAAATTATAGAATAATTTCAGATTTAAAACAAACATGTTCTTAAGGAAAGTAATATAATGATTGTATATTTGTAAGAAATAGTATAGATTTGATAAATTAATATAAAAGATTATAAGAAAATTGCCATCTGTTTAAATTGATTCTTATAGATTGCTAACCTGAAGATTAAGAATGGTCTAATGATGTTTTTACTGCTACTAATTTAATTAGAAAATGGGAAGAGAAAAATTCAGTTCCAAAAACATTTTTAATTGGAGTATTTTTAATTTTATTAATTTAAATGTTTAATCTTATATTTATTTATTAAAAAAGATTTATAATTCACAAAATTAATAAAGTTATATAACTTAATATGATATTATTGATATGTGGATCTGTAAAGATTAAAACTTATAAAATGTACTATAATTAATTGACAATAATTGAAATTTAAAAATATTTTATTATAATATGTCAATATAAAAATTAAGTTTATAAATTTTATTAAAATATACTATATTTAGTATATATTTATTAAAAATTTCAATATTTTGTTTATAAATTATCTTTTTTTAATTTCATGTTTTTTATAATTGATAATAAAATACAAAAATGAATTAGTCATAAAAAATAAGAAAAAAACTTTTGCAAGTTCTTGGTATAATGAAATTTGAAAAAAAAGCAAACATATTCATAAAAAAAATTAAAAATTAAAGCAAAAATGTTAGAAATCGAGTTATAAGGATATTTAGATAAAGTAAACTTAAATGTATAAAATATCCAAAAATTAAAAGCTTTAATATCTCCGTATAATTATATAATTTAAATTTTATAAAACATTCAAATAAATTATAAAAAAATTGCATTTATTAAGGCATACAGGCCTTAAATATTGTGGAGCAGTACAAGCATATAGCTATAAATATATAAACCCTTAAAATATTTAAAGAATATTTTTACTCGGACCTTCACATCGAATATTTATATAAGGATGTGGATTAAGTTCCATGGATTTTTTCGAAACCCCGTTCGGAAATATAGAAATAGATGTAGAAAGTAATAAAATAAATAAATAAATAAGATGAAATTATTAATAATATATAAATAATAGTAGTTATAAATGAACTTTATAAAAACTAAAAAGATTATTTCGTAAAACTTGATTAAGAAACTGAATAAAATGAACATAGTTTAGAATTATAATTACCAATGTTAAAAAAATAAATGGGAGAGTAAAATACTTAAATAAATAAAAAATAAAATTTTGTTAAATAAAATTAAGTAAATAATTCATATTAATACCTATTATGGTAGGATAAACTAATTAAGAATTAGATGTTTAATACGGGAAAATATTTAGTAAATATTTTGATGACGATAGTACTTTGTTTATTATTTCAAGTGATTTTTGTCACTGGGGATAAATGTATATTTTATTTTTTTAATATCAAATTATTATTCTATCTTATTACGTTTTTTAGATTTAAATATAACTATTTTGATTCATCTAAAGGCTAAGTATTTTAATCGATTGAAAACTTAGATAAGAAGGAATGAATATAATTGAATCATAAAACTCAATGTATAATATATAGTTAATAAATACATTTATATTATAATAAAAAAAAGAGAATTCCAAAATTATTTAAACTCAACTAAAAATACAATATGTGGAAGAAGAGGAATAAATATTTTACTAAATGTAAAAAAATATTAAAAAAATATATATAGAACAACATAAAAGATAATTTAGAACAGTAAATATACGAACTAATTGAAAACTTAATTTATTTATTATGCGTAAAGTAAAAAAGTCACTGATATGAAAGATAGTTCTGTAAGTTATGAAGCAAGTATAACGTATGTATGAATAAATTTAATTTCAATAAATTAATATAAAATATAATCAATAATAACATAAACATTTTTAGAAATAATATATAATAATAATCCGAAAAAAAAAATAGAACAATTAAAAAATCTAAATAAATATTGAAATAGCAATATATAATTATATATATATATTAAAAAATTAAATATGCGAAAACGAAATATTTTTTTTTAAATAAAAAGCAAAAAAAAAATACTTTCATTAAAAAAATAAAAAAGAATATAGAAAAAAAAACTAAGCCTCTTTATTTTCAATAATCTTTCAAATCCCAAATTTTAATACTAGTATCCACACTACAACTAGCCAAAAACAAATACTTAGGATTAAACTAAACACAGCAAATAAAATGTCCGTGCGCCTCATTAAATTTTCTTATGGGTCTAAATTTCTCCAAATCCCAAACTCTAATACTTTTATCATCCGAAGCAGAATAAATATATTTATTACTAGAATGAAGACTTAATTACCTTACCCAATTGTCATGTCCAATCAAAGTATTAATTAATTACCCATTATTGCAATTCCAAACTTTTATCGTTTTATCTCTCGAACCTGAAATTACTACTTAAATCTTCTCTTTTTCTCCTAAAATTCCGAAAACTACACATTCTACAACATGCTCATGTCCTCTCAAAATCTATTAAGGTACAGAGTTTTCTACATTCCATAACATTACAGTTTAATCCGAAGAACCAGAGGCTAATAAGTTGCCTGTAGAATTAACTTAAATACATTTCACCCATTCATCGTGTCCTTCGTATGTCCTTTTGCAATATCCAGAGGCTATTTCCCATAATTTAATCGTCTTGTCTCTAGAAGCACTGATTAGGAAATCCCCACTGGGCATAAATTTAACATCAGAAACATTATGTTCATGTCCATAAAGTGTCCTAATGCAAATAAACTAGTTCAAATCCCAAATACGGATAGTTAAGTCGCTGGAAGAAGAGGCTAAATATTTACCCTAATTATCATAACAAACAGAATTGACTGTTCCCATATGTCCTTTTAATGTTTTTTCAATTTACCCGCTTTCAAAGTCCCATAAACGTATAGACCCATCCTCTGAACATGAAGCTAATTAATTATATATAGGGTGAAAGCATACTTAGGTAACTGAAGATCTATGTCCTTGTAAAATATGCTTTGCGGGTTCTTTTGGTATATATGAGTCTTCAGTTATTATACAATTTTGAATGTTTGTTTATGTGTTTCCTTATTATTAAAATTTTAAAAATTTCTGCTTTAGTTAGTTGTTTTCTTCTGTTAAACGAGTATTTTCTTATTCAAGTTCTAATACTTTTTTTTATAATCGGATTATGCTCATCCATTTTTTTTCTAATATATCTTTGGTTTGTTAATTTTGCTTTAAATCTTCTAATTGTTATTTGTTTATATTAGTTTCTTATTCAAATATATTTAATGATTAAGTATAATTGTTCTTTTGTAAATATTCTGCTATGGCAATATTAAGATCTTCTTTTTGTTTTACAGTTAATACCATTTTTATTAGTTTTTTTTTTTCTTTAAATTTTTTATTTTTAATATATTTTTTTAATAAAAAATTTTTTCTTTTCCTTTTTTCATCAAATTAATTATACTTTTACTGTTGATAATATTTTTATTTAAGTTTTTTTTCTTTCTATTATTATTTTATTTATTATACATATATTTATAAATTTATATTTAAAATTTGATTTTCATTAAATAGACTTATAATATATAAATATATAAATATATAAATATATATTTATAATAATATATAAATTTTTTTTATTATGATATATATAATTAATTATATTTTTAAAAATATTTATATATATAAATAATAAAAATTTGTGTATATTTTTTATTTTATTTATTAATATTTAAATTTTTTTAATATTTATAATAATATTTTATTATTATTATAAAAATTTTAACATATATATATAAAATTTAAAATAATTTTTTTTATTTTATTTTTTTATATATATTATCATTATATATATTTAATAAATATTATATATTTATTTTTATTTTATATTTTTTTTATATAATTTTTAATATACTAATGCATTTAGTATAATATTTTTAATAACTATATTATATTTATTCGTTCAGTATTATTAATATTTTATATTAAATTTTTTATATTTTAATTAATTTTTTTTAATTTATAAACTAATATTTTATTCTTATTATTAAATTATGAAGTATTATATATTAAATTTTATTATTTAATATAATTGCCTATTTTTGTTATTTTTTAAGTATTTTAAATGAAAATCCTTTTTAAATATTTAAAACTAATGAACGTAATCTATATTTAAATATAATAAATTTTAAATATAAATTTAATGTTTTACAAAAATGATAATTTTTTTTATAACACTAACTTCATATAAATAATTATAATAATAAAAAATTTATATATATTTATAAAATTTATATATTATTCTTCATATTATTTTTTATAAATACTTGATATGGCTATATTTTTAATTATATATATATATATATTTAAATTATTAAAATCTTTTCAATTTAATAAAATATAGTAATAAAAAATTATATAATTTAATGTTTAAATATTTTAATTTCATAAAAATTATTACAATAAATTATAATAAAATAAAAAAAAATATATTTAAAAATAAATATCCATTAAATATCTTTTATAGAAATTAAATATAATATATATTTTAACATTAAAAAAAATCACTTTTTTTATATATTGATAAAATTTATATATTTTATATTTAATTTATATAATTAAAATTATTTATTAATTTTTTAATCTTATTATTATTATATAAATTATTTTATAGATAATAATAAAATTATTAATAATTTTAAAATGAAGATTTAATAAAAGAATTAACTAAAATATCAAATAAAAAATAAAATATACTTTTTTTTTATAATAAAAGTTCTATATTTTTTCTGTTATAGAATTGAAAATATTTATATTAATTATATATATTAAAAAAAAAAAAAACAATTATTTTTTAAAATAAAATATCAAAAAAAACTAAATGAAAAAATTTTTATTAATAGCAATATTATATGTAGTAACTGCTTTAGCTACTGTTTCGAACAAAGAAGCTTTTGATTGCATACAATCATTAAAACTACCTACAGAACTTGAATTCCCTTTTTCTTACGGAGTTGCTTGTAACAAATTTCACAATGGTTTAGTCAACTAAGATACTTTAGATTAACCTGCTTCTGATGAAAATTGGTAAGCATGCAAAAAAGGTTTGATTGATCACTTTACTGATGATGAAGCGAAATAATTTTTCGCATAAGTAGATAATTGCTTAAACAATGGTAAACCTTCAGTATTGTATTTTATTGAATAATAATTGATGAAAAGAAAATGAAAAAAATAAATATATTAATAAATAAATATTAAATATCAATAAATATATATTATATAAATGAATATTCTTAAAAAAATATTTTTATTAATATATATTTTCATTTAAATTAATATTTAATATAATGAAAATATGAAAATATATTTTTATATATAATTATAAGATAAAAAAATTAATTTTTGAAAATTTATATAAAATTAATTGTTAAAAAATAATTCTAACTGTTGTTTAATAATTATAAAATAATTTTAATAGATATAAAAGATATAACAAATATTATTAAATAATATATAAATAAAAATAATATATATATATATATATATATAAATATATATATATATATATATATTAAATATCT